ATTAATTTGTAGGGACAAGCGAAATCACTTTGTGAGCAGAAATAACTTTAGCAGACAAATTATTTTGTCGAGAGAAAATTTATGCAATGAATCGTATTCGTCTTCAAAGGGTTCGTAGGGAAAAGCTTTAGTCCACAAATTTCAAAAATTTGTCTTCTTATACATTTCCCCTCGATGTTTGCCCTACAAACTTGCCTACAAAACTTTTTTCGTCTGCAAAGATTTTTTTCCCACAAATATGAACCTTTCCCTACAAATAAATTTTGTAAGGAAAGTATAAATTTCTTGTAGTGATATGAAGAGAAATAATCTATTTAATGTGAAATATTATTGTAATCCAGACACGTGGTATACATAGTCCTCTCAACAGGTAGAGAGCAATAGAGTCCTTGTTATGCCCAAGAGAACAACACTAATTATGATAAGCAAATCACTTGAGCACCATAGTATAATCAACATGAGATCGTAAGTGACACAGTGATTGAGTCCTCTACACACTATGACTTTACACCATAAGAAGCCTACTTTCTTGGGACATTTTTGAGTCCCACATGGTAAACACGGGCCTCGTTTTCAAATATTTAGCTAGACTCGAGATAGATGGAAAAGAAGGGTACTTTCAAGAAGGTGAACAGTAATGGTTATTTGAAGATATACGATAAAGTAGTTTTAAAGATTTCATAATTGAGATAGGTTTTTTTTTTTTTTTTTTTAGCGAAATTTATCGGACATTTGTGAGAGATTGGCTCAACATTTTCACTGGTCCAAGAAAGGATCACTTGAATTACTTGATTCGAGGAAAAGTTCAAATTAACAGAATCTAAATCAAATTAATTATTAATTCCTCTATTCAGAGATAAGTCTAACTAACATTACCGACAACAAATAAAACTGTAACATGGGCGGCCGACCGCGGAGACTTTCTGCTGTGATCCAAATCCAATTATCCAAGAAATAAATTATGGTCCCACTGGATCCAACCGGAAACCGGTCCATTTCCCACTGTCAGTCAATGCAGATGCACTTTAGTGCATAATTCCAATAGCAGACACCACGTGGCCCATTCATCGTTTAAGGACGGTTACAAACACCAAACGGTCCAATTTAAATCAAGAAATCGACACATCACTTCTCTATTTAGGTATGAAAGAGCGTGCCCATTTAACGAAGAAAGAGTTCATTCTAAGAAACTGAGATATTTCTTATCGTTGCCTGTGCATTCAAATTTCAAATCATTCTTGCTTTTATTTTACTCGAGAAATTCATTTCGTTAGTGCGTCTTTCGGACAGAAGAATATCAGGTTACAAAGAAGAAATGGGTGCATTGGATCATCTCTCTAACATCTTTGATTGCTCCAGTGGCCATTCCAAGCTCAAGAAACGCAGACAACTGCAGGCTTGTTCTCTCTCTACCTCTTATGTAGATTATTGAATAATAATTCTGTTTAATATTTCATCTGTAAAATCATATGTATTAGAGTTTTATGTTTTTCTTTCCCGAAAATGCTATAAAGATCTGATCTTGGGCAGATGTTCTAGAAAATTAGTCAACACTTCCCACCTCACACCTGACAACTCACCATCTGCTGCACATCAGCTTTGTTTTCTAGTGTTTATTTATTTCCCAACCCCTTTTTTCTTATTCTTTCTATAAAGAATTCTTGTTCAATTTCAAAAATCTTGAACTTGTGATTGAATTCCATAAGCATTTTGGGCATGTGGTTAGTACATCAATGATTCGATATCTTACCGTATATTCTAATTCAATCATAAAACTTTATTGGCAGGCTTTTTTATACTATTCCTTTTTCTTCTTTCTTACCAGACAGTGGAGATAAAAGTGAAAATAGATTGTGAAGGATGTGAGAGGAAGGTGCGACGGTCTGTTGAGGGAATGAAAGGTGTGACCTCAGTTCAGGTGGAGCCAAAGCAAAGCAAGCTCACGGTCATTGGCTATGTAGATCCCGAGAAGGTTGTGGCTCGTGTGGCTTATCGCACAGGCAAGAAGGTCGAGCTTTGGCCCTATATCCCATATGATGTTGTTGAACATCCTTATGCACCTGGTGTCTATGATAAAAAAGCCCCTGCTGGGTACGTGCGGAATATTCAGGACCCTCAAGTTTCACAACTTGCTCGTGCGAGCTCGACGGAAGTTCGTTACACCACCGCTTTCAGTGATGAAAATCCAACTGCATGTGTTGTCATGTGATCTTAGTGTATCATCATGTATGATATAAAGTAGGGGATCTTTGTTAAGCATATCTTAGTTTTTTATTTACCATGGCTTTTGTTTGCAAATTTAAAACAATAGACAAAATATGTTTGCTCAAAGAGTGATATTTCTGTTTTGATATATAAATGAAATTTTGTCATGTAAGGTTGAAATAGTTTTTTGTTATTCTCATCAAAAGTAACGAGTGTGGTTTTCTTTGAAAAGTGCTCATGCAAGTGAAGAGTTGTCATGCCCGACTTACCATTTTATACCAACGAAAGGGAACATGACGACTTAAATGAAACAATAATGTTAATAAGGGTCCGTTGGATTGTAAAGATGAAATTGAATTGAATTGAAAACGAATTTCAAGGAATTGAACTGTTTAGAAATTGTTTTTCTGGGAATTGTAAATTATTGTGTTTGATTGGTATAATTTTCCACGTGAAAAATGTTGAAATAAAAGTGTTTTTTGCTGTTTGTTTGGCTTTATTTTAGATGAAAATTGTCAATTAAAGAAATAGATTTTACTGGTATTGGGGATTAAATTTGTTTTCATTGCCAAAAAATAAAATAAAAATCAAGAAAATCAAGAAAATCATCTATATTTTAGCATTTGTTTAGTTTTGTTTTACATGAAAATTGTCAATTAAAAAGAAATATTTTTTTTACAATAATTCTTAAAATTTGTTTCCAATGCAAAAAAAAAAAAAAAAAAAAAGAGCCTTGGAATTCCATTTCCCACCATATAGGTGGGAAAACAAATTCAATTAAAAGCAAGAATTGGTCACCGTCATGTGAAGCAAAGATGGAATTCCAATTGCCAAGAAAAAAAATGTCTATCAAACATCAACAAAAGTGAAAAATGGAATTCCATGGAATTGAAAGTGAATCAAACATACCCTAACTTCTATATTTGAAGAAATATACAGTACAACAAAATAAAGAATCATTTTCTTCATTTGCTTTTGATTTTATCGAGATTTTTGGCAGCACAAGTTCCTATCCAAGCATGTCGAACATTGCACTCTTCATTACAACCGAAGCACCCCTGTTGTAGGAAGGAATGGTGATGGGGAAGAACATTTGCCGTACTCCTTCCGACTTCACTATGGGAAATATGATGCCATATGCACTCTGCACCAGGAAATTAAAAATGAACACGCTTATCTAATTACAATAGAAGTAACATGTTCATTAGAAAATGTATACAAACTGAAAAGAGTTACCTACCGAGAGCAATCTAGCTCCAAGCAACACACGCTTGGGTGAAGGAAATGGTAGAAGCAAACGACCTACACCATATATGGCCACGGCAAAGAAGTGAGCAACCAAGCTCATAGGCCTCGGGTTCAAGCCAGATAGGAGGGCAATTGGTCCTTGTGAGTAGATGCCTCCAAGGCTCAAATAATCAAAACACGCTTCTCGCATTTCTCTGCTGGCTTGATCAGGTGCAGGACAGAATACCTTGTATAAGGCACCTGCTAACGTGTTTATTGTAGAAGCCACTGGCTGCAAATCAAAACCGTAGCCACATCAGTAATCTAATTCGAAAATTTCTCGGGTTCCATCTCAAATTCTTAGCCCAATCCCCTATAAAACGAGTGCAGAAATGAGGCCAACCTTACGAAGGGTGTAAAAGGATTCAAGATGTTTGGTGAGCGCCGCTGCATTGCTGAAATCTTGTACAGCTCGAAGTAGATCCCGGAGGACCACCACATCAGATAGTGCAACAGTCATTCCTCCCCCAGTCAAAGGGTGTCGCATGTTGAACGCATCTCCCAGCAAAATTGCACCCGGAGTGGGAACTGGAGCTGCCGGCATACTTCTGTTTGGCATAGTTCTAATATCTCCTTTCTCGACTGTATGGATGAATGCATCCCGAAGTTCAGGTGGAAGCTGATGAACAAAAGTATAAGAATATCTTTCAGCATACGGAATGATTCCTAACTATTTCCATTTCTAAGGACTGAGATTTTAATACCTGATTAGCCACCTTGGTCTTCAAATAATTGGCCATGTCTCCATTGGAAATTGAAGGTAATTTTTGACCAGGAATATCGACCAAACAGCGTACTTCGGTGCTACTGACTGGATAGAACAAAATAGGTGAAGGGTTAGCCAATATAACATGTCCATGATTGGGATGAGGGAGCCGGCTGTTCTCCAGGACCACGACCATACCAACAAAATGGGACATAATATCGACCTGCCAAATAATGAAACAATGCCAAGTTAAGTGAAAGAAAAAATAGTTGAAACAGTTGAGTGTAAGTTTTCGGGCCTAATTACCTGTGGTACGCACAGATTGCGCCTCAGGTTTGAAAAGCAACCATCGCATACGATTGTTAGAGGAGCTTTAGCTGTATTTTCTTCACCCTCTTTAGTCTTGAATTTAACTCCTATAACAGTACCATTTTCTTCAACCAAAGATGTTACAGTTCCTTGTTCCATTTTGACACTGCAAAAGAAATCAAGAATTAGAATCTTAGCTTGAAGTATTGTACAGATTCAATATTTTGTCTGCAGAAAAAGGAACTTTTTAGAATTTGGTAGGAAAAAGAATAGTTTACTTGGGAAGAGATGCAGCCTTTTCGCGCAACCTTTGGATGAATCTCCCGTGATGAAAGCTTCTGCCGGAAACATCTGAATTGAATTCTTCCAAAGGATAGGACAGTCTAGCATATTTCCCTTCTTTGTAAAGTGCATAACCATACACTTGCTGAGAATCAATCCCAATTACACAATCTGTCACAATATATATTCACTTGCAAGTTAAAATCCACGTCTAAATGAAAGTTAGATTAATTCATCAAAATATAGGACTTACCCTCCATTCCCAACTCGACTAGTTTGAGGTAGCCTCCTGGTTGTAGTAACTCGCCAACAATTCTATCAGGTTGGGTTAAGTCCCTCTCAATCACATGTACTCGGCGCCCATCCTATGATTGGATATAAATGACATATAACACACGCATATGAACACGGATATGAAAAAATGACGTGGAAAAAAAACAGGACGCTAGTCGAGTTATGTCCAATGTAACAGATTACATAAAATATAATCTTAATGATACCTTGGCCAGAGAGTAAGCCAATGTAGAACCGGCTACACCAGCTCCAACAACGACAACATCTGTTCCTCCATCTTTCTGGGATACAGAATGTTCAGAACTTTTATTACCACTGGGACCTGTCTGTGCCTTAATCTCAGCTCTTTGAGGCCTTTTCCCAAGCAATCTGTATAACACAATAAACCCCAAAAGTGAAGCAATGAAAGATCCCAGAATAAACTCTTCCATCATCCTCGAATCCATGATCAAGTGAACAATGCGTTGTCTCTGTTTATAACAGAATGTTCTTATATTTATTACTCTTGATGCATGTTTCAACCACACTTATCCCTTTTATATAGGTGCTGTAAAAAGGCAAGCTCTCCAAACTGGACTTTGTTAGTCAAATAAATCTGGTTGTTGGGGGAATAATTAGGTAAAATTAATAAACAAGTCAATACCAAAACATTATTTCCGAGGTTTTTCGGAAAACAATGGACACAAACAAGGGGTGACAGGAAATTCTGATTCACATTCACATCAGTTTGCTAAGGAAGGTTGACATAGAACTAATCCAGCTCCGCATGAATAGAACAAATTTGAGAATAATTTTGATTAGATATAAGATTTATTTTTAATCAATTGCTAATGAAACAAATTAGAGAATTAATCAAGATTCAAGAGGGCTGTCTACTGGACAACCAGGCTTTGTCTGGGTCAAAAATTTTAGACATGCATTAAATAGCGTTAAATTGTATAATAAAAAAAAAATATTATTCAAAATAATATTATTTAGTGGAGACATGAGGAGGTCGGCATTATTTTATTCGCGTGGGACTCACGCCTCGGTTGTGAGTGTGGTGTCATCTTTTGTGTCAAAAATTATGTTGGTTTGACATTTTCCAAATTTCTATGGACGCCCTCCTATTGGAGGGGCTGTAAGTGGCCTCGGAGTTTTAGCACTGCTCTTCTTGATGAATGCCCCCACCTTCATTCAGTAAAAGAATGATCTTTTAAAAGACCAGTGATGCTACAAATTTGGAAGACTAAAATGATGCCGTAACAAGAATCGAATTGATACATCCCCGTTTTGCCGCATTAAATTAAATTTTATTTTTCTTTCCTTCATTTTCAATTACACAATCTTTTATAAATAATATTTCACGTAAAATAAAATTTTTTTTTTTTCAACCATTCATTTTCAAAAAAATAAATAAATAAATAAATACTATTTTACCCATTTTAATTTAGAAAAATGGGGGCCAAATGGAAAATTGCTAGAAAGTTCATCCATGCAATTTTTTCTTAATACCAGCACAAATTTATTTTTTATCATTCTCCACTCTAAACGCCTGAATTGACCCATACCATATATAATCATTGGGCCCATGAACTCTTCTCCAGTTCTGCTTCTTCCCATTATTCCATCATTTTGGCGGGAAACGAAACCCCACCCATTTCAGCATCAGCAGCTCACTCTTCGCGTTACACCGTCACTGCCTGATAGAAAAATCTAGAAAGGGAAAAATGGCTGATGAAGGAGTCGAAGAGATGGTAGAGGAGGAGTTTTCTGTGTGGAAGAAGAACACACCATTACTCTACGACCTCGTTGCGCTCGAGTGGCCATCTCTCACAGTCCAATGGCTCCTATCGCCGCCGTCCGATGAGGGTCCTCTCACTGTACATGAATTGATACTGGGACCCATACCTCTGATGAATTTCCGAATTTCTTCATGGTCGCGCACGCCCTCGTCCCCCGGGTACCATCGAGATCGAATCCGATAATACCAACATCCCTAAGGTCATTAATTAGTTTCCTCAACACGCTCATTATTCTATTTGTGCGTATGGTAATGTTAAAGTGCTTTATCAGCATCAAGTGTTTGATGAAATATCCAAATGAAATTGCGTTTCTTTTTGGTCGGGGTTTCTTGTGGTCATGCGTTAGCGTCAAAGGAAATATGACAAGCTTCTAATGTTGAGAAATTCTATTTATTAGCAGTTACGACTCTTGCTTATGCTGAGATTTAATATATGCATCTTAGGTTTGCGTAAATGCCCGAGGTCCAATGCATTATGGGGCTATTTAAAAAAGGTTAAATCCTAATCCTAAGGGTCCCCACCACCTCTGTCCTGAAATATCGTGAAGGAGGTAAATCCCAGGTTATGCCTCTAAGGGTATAGGGTGGAAGGCTGCTTGTACACTTGTACTTACTCAAGAGCTAAATCCATATTTCAGGATTCGAAACCTTGACGCAGCAACCTCAAGCAAAATTGAATTTCTCTACCCTCCCCTTTTACCACTTGAAGATGTGCTCTGGGGGCCATTATGGGGCTATTTATTTTGTGGATGTGTTGGTTTACATATGATTGAGACTCTTGGGTTGCGAGGGTATACCTTTTTCAAAAGGTGTACATTTTTTTCCAAAAAAAAAAAGGGGTTGAACCCCAAACTTAAGCCCCCACTGCTCTCAGCTTTGTGAGTGAGGTAAATCGCGAAATGTACCCCCAACAAATTAGTGAACAAGTGCTATCTGTACACTGTGTTTACAAGGAATCTAATTCCATATTTCAGGAATCGAACTCCCACACTGTGACTGTCAATAAGACGTGAGATAACTTCACTTCTATCATTTGCACCATTGAACTATGTCCCGAGAAGCGGGTATACATTTTTTTTCTTCTATTGGTGAGGTGGTTAAGGTTGTAGTGTAAGGTCATATCATCTTGGAGAGCATATTTTTGTTGTTAAGAGCATGTTTGGTAGAGATTTTTAATCCAATTAACATTAATTTTTTTATCATTATTTCATTATTTCAATCGTAATTTTTGAATTCTTCTTTCACAGATAGGACTCACTTTATATCTAATGATCAAAAAATCAATTAACAAAATTCCTACCAAACAAGCACTAAATCTTCTCATTCATTGGGAAGAGCACCTCATATCATCCTTTAGCTCAGCCACTCTTTTTTATCATTAGGTTTTAAGAGGTGCAAGGCTCAATTGGCTACCTATAAATATGGACTTAAGATTTAACATGCATCATGAGTTTCAGTTTCTGCTTGACGAGCATTATTTCCAACTCTATTATGTAAATGCAGGTAGAGATTGTTCAGAAAATACATGATGGGGAAGTGAATAGAACTTGGTGCATGCCACGAAACCAAGGTTTGGTTGCTGCTAAGACTAGTGGTTCTGAAGTATATGTATTCAAATGTACCAAGCAGCTGGTGAATACCGGAGGGGGTTCTTGCAATCCTGACTTGAGATTGAGGGGGCATGATAAAGAAGAATATGGGCTGTCTTGGAGTCCATTCAAAGGAGGATATCTTTTGAGTGGCTCAAATGATTGCAAAATTTGCTCGTGGGATGTTTCTGCAATGCCTCAAGACAAAATCCTTAAAGCAAACATGTCTATAGGGTTCAAACTGATCTTTTCCTCTACTTCGCCCTTTGTGTTGATTTTGGTTATTTTATCGTTGAGATATTTCTGTTAATATTGGAAGCTCATAAGTTAGGCTGTGAATTTGGATAGTAACTTTCTGGCTTTTATGACCGTTGCTTCAGGGCCACGAAAGGATGGGAGGAGGTGTAGGTTACCTTTTTTTCTGTCAGTTGTAATCACAAAATAAATAAAACAGCTTATGCATTTACAGATAAAATCAGTTCAAGCTCCCAAAAGAGAGAACCTACACCTCCTCCCAGATATACACAAAAGGAAAAACAGAAACAGAACTATAAAACAAGATGAGAGGCACCCAAGATATACAAGGAAAGAACCTTCTAATGTCTACATGGATCCCTCAAAGGTAGCTGGGAGAAATTAAAAAAAGCTGAAGGAAACAGGTAGGAATTACAATCGTGAAGCAAACTGCTGAGGGTATCCCTTTGAGAGAGAATGTAAAAATCAATATTAACATTCGAGAGGTAGAAAGGTGCAATTAAACCAGATTCATGTCTCAGCAATTTTATCTCACCTTCAAAAGTCTTATCATACTACACATGAAGCTGGCTCATGGTAGCTAAACATTCAAGATACCACACCATTCCTGAATTTCAAATTCAGAAGAAGATCACATTCTTCAAGGGGAATATATCAAGAAAATCTCAACAAAGAACAATCAAATTACAATAGATCATAACAAACAAATATTTCATTTATTGTGGTGCTGAAGAAATCTATCAGAGCTGCACAGAATACCAAAATCACTGGGTCATCTTCAGTCTTCACAAGTACTGCTAGCTACACTCCATTACATCCTCCATCTGATTAGTACTTCAACTAGCAGTTGCCGCATGCGCTCCTCCTGATGAAGTATAAGAAACAAAGATCAAAAGTCATAAAAACTAAAATTTCCAGTTAACAAAATCCTGAAAATCGTATTTGGTTCTTATATTGACAATGAAATTCATTATCAGATCCATTTAAGTGAACAGAGGCATATAGGGGATGGACCAGTAGAAGAATTCAATAGCAGATCCATTTAAGTGAACATCAATCAACATGTACATATATTGGTTACCTAGTAACCAGAGAACAAGAATGAATTCCTAAAATTCCTGGTTCATTGCCTTACCCGCAACCTCGTCAACATAGGGATCACTCTAGTCCATAGCAAAAAGTATGTCAAACTCTTTGCACATCATCATAAGAAAAAGGTATCAGACTTCCCAAGCAGCAAGCTGAAAGAAAACTTTGCCACACATTGTATTGCACAACTAACCTTCATTGTGTAATAAAACTCATGTCCAATTTTCTAGAGAATACCGACGATCTACACCACCCATCTCAAAACTTAATTGTTAATAAATGTGCAAAGGAAAAATGAGTTCTAGGCATAATGTATTGCAAACTTGTAATAAGTAACAAGATATTGTTCCTCAAAGTTTTATTCTGGGGAACAATGTGTAACAATTAAGCTAAAAAAAAAAATTCTTTCTTTTTTTGTTTAGAGGGTGCTGGGGTTGTCAATGGAAGACAGATCAAGTCATGCTGTAAAAGCAGATTCCGTACATAAAGGCAGATTAATTGCTGTCATTACAGTACTAGGAATATATTGGAAGTATCTAAAAGTTCGGATTTCTATTTGTACTTAGCCAACGACGATCAGATTGTCAAGTCAACATGATGTCAAATCACTAGAAAATATTGGTATAAGTAACAAGCAAATAAACTGAAACCCCATTATTTGATTTCTTTAGGGTTCCTCCTGTTGGAACAGATTAAATTCTATCAAAATGTAAATGGTTGATCCACTAAAAAAATCTTACACAAAACGAAAGTAACAGACAATGAAAGCCAGGAATACAGGTCAGACCATGAGAAAGTAGAGAGCCACCTGACTCACTGGGCACTTGCTCATGTCAGAATACATTTGGCATAAATTTCAACCATCCAATCCATATGACATAATTCTTAAAATATCAAAAACGCTATCACAGTTATATAAGCAATGCAACTAGAGGTAAGATGGAAAAAACACTATCCTTTCCTCATCCAAACAATGACAAGTTAAGCAAAAAGCAACACACAAATTAGCAAAGTCATTAAGAAAGAAATTATATCTTTTCCTACCACGTCACATTTAATTGCCATGCATATAGTAAGCTGAAAAACCTTGTATAATCAGAGCAATAAAATTCACCTTTTCTCTTATTCCCGTTGGATGTATTGCCAGTAGCTATGCCATTACCACTGCCAATCTCACATCCCGGAAGATCCTTAAGACCAGAATTTTCATACCCCAAACATTGCAGATTGTCAAATCCACAGTCACTGAAGCTTTGACCATTTAATGCAGCACCTTCTGATCCGGAGTGAAGGCAATGAAGCTGATTGTTCTGCTGTGTATTACATGGATTCATCACATAGGTACCAGGACTAGTATTTGCAAGGTAGTGATGGACATCACCACTCTTAGTAGGTTTCTGGTAAGGGAAAGATCCTATTTCGCCTTCAATTCTTCCTCTAATGTCCACAAGCAAGCACTTGAGCCTAGCAATCTCAGCCTCCAATAAAGCTTGACCCTGAAGCCTCTTCATTAGCTGTTGATTCAAAGTTCTCAATCTAATAACTTCATCCTCCAATGAAGCAGCACGAGCCTTCTTCTTCTCGCGATACTTGCGTACGGCTTCACGATTACCTAGAGGGCGTCTCTTAGGTTTTCTCTCTACTGACTCTGCAGTATCATCACTTGGGGACGGAACTTCACTAGTGGCAGGCATAACTTGGGTGTGGATATGGTAACAAGTGTGTGTGTGGGAGTTATCAGGACCAGCTGTGTTGCAAGCATGAGCATGGGTGCAGGCCTGTGTACGGCCAAGAGAATCAGTGCAGGCCTCTGTCCGACCGAGGGCATCATTGCAAACCTGTGTTCGACTGAGAAACTCGTCTATGTCAAATGAGCAACTGGCCTGAGCATTGATTGTATCCAAACATGATAATAGTTGATCATTCGGAAAATCAAGCTCCCCGTTGTCCATTTCAACTGAAAATTGGTTCAAATTAAACCAAAAGGTTCACACAATGAGGCCTACAATAAAATTTTGCAGTCAATCTCAATGAAAAGTGTCCATTCCTTGCTGGATATAACTCAAAGAAGACCTAGTAACAAAAACAGATAAGACTTGTAAGTTAATCAGCCACAATCTATTAGAGAAAATAGGAACATTACTTGATTTTAATGATACCCCAGATGAAACTTACTATCTACACAATCAGAAACCTCAATTTTTGGTTTCATGAACTACCGTAAAACCCTAAAAATCCCAACGAAAAATTTCAAAGATTTGAACTTTAAGCATAATCCATGTATTAAAATCGTAATTTAGGTGAAATTGAAGCCTACAAATTAAAAATACGCAAGAAATAGAAACCCTAACTAAAGTATAATCGAGATAAACGCAAGTTTGAATTTGATCACAGTAACAAATAATTCACAAATTGAAAACACAAACAGCAAGCGGTATATTGAAAAAGAAATTGGCATACCGGAGAGTAATTTTATTCAGAACTAGAACTATCAAGACTGAATCTTGGAACAACATTAATCAAGAGGCGCAGAAGACAGTTTGCGGGATATCGAAGATGCAGAAAGACGCCAATGTCAATTATTTTAATGGCGGATGGACAAGTGGCGAAGCATATCAACCATTGGTTCAGTCAGAGACTCCAGCAGATACACAGATGAGAATATTTTCCTTTATTGAATACTAATTAGTAATTCAAAAATACTATTTCTACATCACTTTTTTTTACATTAATTTTCACACTCCCTCACAAAGGTGAGGTTCACGATTATTTTAATCATAAACCCCACCCACTTATATGTGTGTGTGCTGTGAAAAAAGTGTACGTGTAGAAT